TACGTTAGTTAAGTAAGTAGTAAGTAACGTAACTAACTACGTACGTACTACTATTATATACTACTATAGTAGGTAACGTACGTACGTACTACTACTATAGTGTCTCTCTCTCTCTCTCTCTCTCTCTCTCTCTCTCTCTCTCTCTCTCTCTCTCTCTCTCTCTCTCTCCATGCCGCTCTCTACTCTCTCTCTTTCCCTAAGGGGGTGCCATGCCCTGCAGTAGACTTGAAACCTAACCCATGTGTTTGATGTTTCTATGCGACACAAATCACGGTTGTACTCTCATCTACACCATCTAGTTTGGATTTGCCAATGAAGCTTACCATTGCAAGGACACTCAAAAGGGATCTAGATCAGTGTGCCAACGAGCTTGGTAACCTGGAGTTAGGTGTACTTAAGTCCTTTGGAGGTGATCTGAGGCAAGAGGTTCTTGTAAAGGCTTCCCATTGTTCCTAATTTATTTTATGCATTGTATTTTTTATGAATAAAAGAAAGCTATTGTGTGGAAGTAAGCAAGGATTCTTAGAATGTAATAGCATTTTATTTTGTGTTTTTTGCATCATAAGTGGCTTTAATAAGTAGATTTGCCAGTATTACTAAGGAAAATTTTTTAATACTTATACCATGCTTGATCTACATTGCCACCTTTAACCAATCAGAAAGGATTGAGCAAAGGCCTTGACATGAGGAAGAGAGATGACGAGAGGGAGATATGGGCCGAATCAAAATTTATCATTGAGAAACCAAACAGACATGCGAGACAGATAAAATTAGCTTTTCACATTCTTTCAAAGGGCCAAACAATCCTGCAGCCTTAGAAAATTAACTCGCAAGTTTTTCCGAGTTGGCTTCTGTTGTAAGTTTTCAGGATGACAAGGTCTATAAATGTTGTAGCCAGACTGGTCATAATTTCTCTACTAAAGTGTAATTCATTGTTTTGGATGAATCTCTACCTCTAATTGACTGTTGTTTCCCCTTAAAGTTCAGTTTTATAAGCAATGATCTATTGATGCAGTCCCATATGGGTGACTGGGTAGATTTTATCCCGCCTCCTTTGTATTTTGATAATCAGATTGCAGTCAGTCTAGAACCTGCCGTACTTATGCTATTGACTCTAGTTTGCCACAATAAGAATGAGATTCCGCTACACAGTACAAGGGGCAGGATATTCTATCAAGATGTTTGTCCCATATACCTGGGAAGGATCTCGAACTAGCAAACTAGACTGATTCAGGCGAGCAACTTAGTGCACTACCTCTATCTGTTTTCCCTTTTCCTAATTTTGAGCATCCTCCAAACATATTTACTGAAAACTCTCAAAGAGAATATAACATTTATCAGAGCAAGCCAATTATGCATCATGATCCCCACTTAGCTCGAGTAACATGGAAACAAACTGAATTGCAGTGGAAGCTGGTGGATTTTGTAAGGAACATGGGTATCTCCAGCACCAATTAACTGCTAATGGCTGATATAATCATTTGGAACTCTATACTATGGCCACCAGGGGGCCAACTGTAGTTGTGCTCCCTAAGGGGCATCCATTGGGGAGGGAGTCCCCAGATTGAAGCATTACGGCCTGGGAATTCCCAGGTGCTCCCAACCTATAGCTGGTGCAATCTCCACTATCCAGGCTGGGCTTGCGCGGGCCAGTTCTGGCCCTAGCCCAACCCTATTCCCTAAAGGGCTGGCCCAGGCCTGGCCTTGGCACTATCAGGGCTGGGTGGAGTAAAACTAAAGAATAACAAGGGAAAATAGATAAATCAAATAAGGGCTGGGCATGGTCGAACCCGGCCGGGCCTGTTTTGGCCCAGCCTAGGTAGGGTCTGGCCAGGCCTCCCTGGCCCATTGCCACCCCTAGTGGTGCCACCTACAGGAAATTCCAAATGCACTGGTATGTAACTATGTTAGTTTGAAGGGAAATCTAAACAAAAGATCATGTTCCTCTACAATAGGGAGCCAGAAGATATTCCACGAAATAAGATGTCTGAAGCTCTGTAAAAATCCGAGCTCCTCTAAGCCATTTGCTCGAAGGAAGAAATAAGTAAGACAAACTATATAACACAAATGACTTATGCCCAACAGTAGCATTATGAATAAAAATTCTAAATAATGCCCAAGGATATCCAAGTCACGGGACACGATGATTACAAAGAAACTCTGTTTTCAAAAGAAAAGATGAAAGAGCTACCAGTAACACTCCGAAAATTGAAGTCTGCAAGCCCTTTTCCAGATGAATTCTGCCAAATTGCTTCTAAAGCCGGAATGATGGGTAACACATCAGTTCCGCTGGCAAGAAAGCCAAGCCTGGTAAAATCATTTGCCATTTCAACATAATCCTCATTTACAGCATGGACAACAGCATCAATCAAAATTTGTTTATTTTGCTGCCATGATAAAGAAAAACCCATTAGTAAACCTTGAGAAATTGAATATTTATTGATCTATTGTTCTTATTCTATTGATAAAAAGATTAGGGAAGGGGTTGGAGCATATATGTGAGCACAGCAACATGCAGAACAAGCAAGGAAAAAATAGGCCCCAAGCTTTTGGGTTAACAGTGTCACATCCAACTTGAAAGGGGGTTAAGGGACTTAACCTCCATCTAGTACCCTAACTGGCCTACCAAATAAAAGAAAGAAACAAGGATCTTTCTAGTGCAGGCAGTAAAGACTCTTGGGAAGTCCTGTAGTGTTGTAGCGTCCACTAGCCTCTCATCAAGGTGGACTCCAGTTTGCAAACAAAACCATCAGTTCGTTTCCATCTCCTACAACTGAAGTCCATGAAACTCCCCAGAATAGAGAGTATCACATTTTGGATGCAAAGGGACCTGCTAAAACTAAGGACTTCGCTGAAAATAGTTTCAATATTGACTCCCTCTCCCTGTCTTATGACTTTTTCAAAACTACTACTGTAATGTGGGGAGCTTAATTTTATTTAATTTTGTGCATAGTTCTAGCTGGAAAGTTTAATGCTCTTCCCATGTGCAAATACCTGCACCTTTGTGGTCCATATCTTAAGAACAAGAACTAACTATAGGACAACCTAGCCAATTCCTGCATTTTTTTTTCCAGAAGGGCATCAAAAATTTGGATCCGCTGGCTACCAATGGCCTATCTTCAATATTTCTCTAGACAAACATACATTTATCTAGCTGATACTAAGGCCTCCTAATCAAGAGTCACCTATCATTGACAAAGGAATCAACCTACTTGCCATGGCGAGCCCAAGGCTCCAAAAAACACCAGGAGGCCCCTAGACAGCCTGGCCGCCCAGAACCTCAAGCGCCCTAAGGTTACATATTTTAAAAAATATGCCTATATGTGTTGTTTACATGACTCCTCCTTGGCCGGCCCCCAGCCCGTCATGCCGGTCCCAAGCCAGGGCAGCCAGTGTAAAACTTTGCCAAATCTAGCCATGAATCCTGAACCTATGAGCAGAATGGCAGAACATGATTTATGCAGCGGAACCCAAATAATTCGTATATGGCTTAGATGATGATGATGATGATGATGCATATGTGTTGTACAAACACACATATATGCAGATATTCATGTCAATTTTGTATTTTTCTGCATTTATATGTCTTCTAATTACTTTTTTATGCAAACATGTACACATGAATGTTGAAACATGTTCAAAATTTCAAATCCTCAAAATTTAATATTCTTTAAATAATTAAAATAGTGAAAACATCAACAAGTCCATCATGTATTTGGTCGATATTCCATAGTGGCACAGTCCATACTTCATAGTTCATAGAAACATCATCCACATAGACTCCAAGTATCCAATAAGACCAATACACAATGATGGAATCTAAAGCATAGGAAATGTATACAACAAGACCATTTAATTTCAGTATAAGAAGATCACAATTATTAGTGACTGTTAGAGGTAAAATCAGGTGGGCGGGATGCCATTAACTGTGCAACAAATTCCAAAATAAAATTTCTCAAATCTTGTGACACACTTCAATCTGTCAATTTCACATCCAATGGCTAATAATGATTGTAAACTCCTTGTACCAAAAGTGAATAGTCTTATAGTATATAATACATTAAAATAAGATGCAATACAAAAAAAAAGATTGATGATATCTTAGATTCTGTAAATCAACAATTTGATCATTACCTTCATTCACTTTTAGGGTTTAGGATTTAGTTTTTCATTTTGGGGGGGCCTAGAATACAACAAAACACTCTTCCCTCTTTCCATGGGTAAAAAAAAAAAAACCTAAATGCCCTTAAGGAAAATTTATTACTACTAAAAAGGGCTTCAAAATTTTAAATTTTTTTAGTTTCATGGACATGGGTATACGTTTTATTTATTTTATTAGGGTCAATTTTCAAGAATTATAATGTGAGGTTAATTGGTCTAAGAGGGTGAGGGCCTTAAAGTTTCCCTTAACCCATCCCAAGCTCGGGTGAAGTAGGCAGGTTGTGTTAGGGATGTAGCCAACATAAAACTTTGCTAAAACTTTATGTGAATCTCAAATCTACATTATTTGCTTATGCTAGGGTGTCCCCACAAGCGGCATGCGGTACCAGATTGTAGCCGACCCCAAATAAGTGGGAAAAGCATCTGATGATGATGATGACAAATGTGAGGTTTTCTCCAAAACTTAGTTTCAATTTTTTTCACTATTCATGAGTATTGTTCAAGCTTACTGTTCACAGGTTACCATTCATGGGTGCCATTCACTGGGTATTCATGGAGATTTAGTATCTTCTAGGGGTATTTTAAAGTCTTAAATTATTTACTTAGATCTTAAGTTAATTTAAGGATTTCGTAGGCTTAAAATAGGTGGAGAATTAAATCCACCTTTTTCCTAAACTTCAAACAAGTAAAAAATCAACAATGATTGAGAAAAAGTATGGTTGTATATCAAGCCAAGAGAAGAACTTTCTTCTTTTATAAAATTAAATTCATTTTAATAACATAGGAAAATTAAAAATTAAAAAAAAAAAAAAACCATCTATAGACATTTTCCCTTTTCTAAGCCATCATACAAATATAAGATCATCATCACCATCATCCAAGCCTTATCCCAATTATTTGGGGTTGGCTACATGAATCCTATTCCTCCATTTTTCTCTATCAAGGGTCATGTCCTCTATAAGAATAGGTTCAACATTCATGATAAGATGTGGCATAGTTTTACACTGGTTGTCTAACTAACACGACCTACCTCCTTTACCCGGGCTTGGAACGGGTTAAGGGAAATTTTAAAGTCTTCACTCCAACAAATATAAAATAAAAAATTTAAAAACAAAATATCTTCTCTCTTATAAAATATGCACCAACAAATTTTCGTATATGTTTTTTTCTACTGCACATAATCCCCCTTATATCTTTCTTTAAAACACCTACTCTCTCTTCCTCCAGGGCCGTCAATCTAGGAAATTCTCTTTCTTTCTCTCTAACTACCATATTCTCTACAAAATCCATTAAAACTACGAAATTATTAAAAAATTTAAAACATAGTAACATGTCCCACCATAATAGGACCTCCATGCCCACCATAATAGAACCCCCTTCATCTACAACGTGATCTATCCCCAAGTCCCAAGTAAAAAGTAGGAAACCAATTAACTAACTAAATCTTAAATAACGTCTCACCTAAGCCTAACAACTAAGAAACTAACATCTAATATATATATAGATATATATATATATAAATAAATAAAACTCATATCAGAAAATAAAAATTAAAAAGCTAAAGTACATGTGTTTAAATCAGCTAGCTCTTGATCTCCATCATGGGTGCTAGGCGCCCGCATAGGCAGGCACCCAAGAACTAGCACCCAGACACCCCCACCTAGGCCTCGATGAGGCAGCCTAAGGCCCCTTGGGTGCTTAGGTGTGCACCTAGGAGCTAGGCAGGCAGTTTTTTTAAACAGTTGGGAGCTCTTCAACCACCAAGTCCTTGATTTCACTACTCGTACATGTTTCAATCGCTAAAAACCACATTTCCAACTCTTGAACCATATTGTACTTAGAAATCCTTTAAAGACAATCTCTTGTAGAAGAGTTACTAACAGAAGAAGCTCCATGTAAAAGCTTCTAAAGAAGGTAAAAGCTTCTAAAGAAGCCCCACCTCGGCAAATGCATTGCCTTTTCCAAAACACACTGAAAGAAAACTTCAGTGAGCTTGGGCTGGTAATGGCATGGCTGCTTGGTCCAACTTAGCTAAAAGCCCAGGACTAGGCTAGATATTTCTGGCTTGCTTTCTGTCAAGTTGGGCATGTCATTTATAACAAGTTCCTATAAAAGGAACGATATGTAATAATTGAGTACATGCTTCAGTGAGGACCTCAAAGTTCTTAATGTATCAATTGGGTGCAATGCAATGAACATTGCATATTTTGCGTTTGATATGTTGATCAACAAGTATTAACTAAGTTGCTAGATGTGACATTTAACAGAATAGTTGTTCTACTTGAATCGCTTGATTATATGTTATAAAAACAAATGATAAACATCTCATTAATAGTGGATTCTATAAAGTTATTAAAAGCTTGAATGATTGATTAAGAAAAATTCAATAGTCATGCATGAATATGTGTGTTCATCAATTGTGGGCAGGTTGAATACATACCTCCGATGCAATTAAGGTGACGAGAAATAAAGGATAAGTCACAATAGTTAGTGATTGCTACCATGCTCATGAATTATGTGGTTAGTGCCTCACAAGACTCGTGCTTTATACATAGCGCATGTCTTAATAGCGTGTGCCCAATATGACTTATGCTCGTGATCAATAGTTGATTATTCCTCATTTAGATCATCACTCGAGGAAGATGTTGCACATAAAATTAGTGTCAGATGGGCGAAGTGGAGATGTGCAACCCGAGTTGTATGCGACTGCTGCATACCAATGAAGCTGAAGGGGAAGTTCTACAAGACCGCTGTGAAACCAGCTCTGCTTGATGAGATGAAATGTTGGGCGATCAAGAAACACTATACCCATAGGATGAGGATGTTGAGATGGATGAGTGGCAAGACAAGAAGGAATAGAATTTGAAGTTAATATATTTGGGAGAACTTAGGAGTGGCTCCAACAAGCGATAAGTTGAGAAAAAGTAGACTTAGGTGGGCTTGACATGTATAGCACATACCTAGCACAGCACTTGTTAGGAGGTGTGAGTTAGTTCAAGTGGAAAGCTCAAAAAGGGCAAAGAGTAAGCCCAAAAGGACATGGTTAAAAGTAATGAGAAAAAATATGCGAACCTATCGACTCACTGAGGGTATGGCCCTTGATAGAGCAGAGTGGCGGACCAAGAGTTCGTGTACCTGACACCAAATAGTCAGAAAAAGGCTTTGATGTCGATGATATATATATATAGTAAGACTAAGCTTAAGGCATATGATATCTATACAATAAATTGGAGACAAGAGAAGGCAAAAAAGATGTCTTCAAACTAGCAAAAATGAGATAGAAGAAGCGAAGGGATCTAGATCATATTAAATGCATTAAGATTGGGCCTTAAAGCTTGGTGAAGGATAATGAAGACGATGAAAGGAGTATAATTTATTTTCAAAAGTTGTTAAGTGACGACCACTATGGAAGCACAGCGTTAGGAGGAACCTCTGACGTAAATGAGATCGGAGGGCATTGATATATTTATAGGATTATGATATTTGAAGTGAAAGAAGCTTTGAGAAAGATGAAAATGAAGATAGGAAAGGCTTTAGGACTAAATGGTATCCCAATAGAGGTTTGAAAGAGCATGGGATAGATTTTGAGAACAAAGGTTTGAAAGAGCATGGGATAAAAGCAAGTTGTTCAACAAGATTTTGAGAACAAAGAAATGCCAGACAAATGGAGAAAAATATTGTGGTATCTATTCACAAGAATGAAAGGGACACAGAATTTGTACAAACCATTGAGGGATCAAACTTATGATCCACACTATGAAGCTGTGGGAGAAAGTGATTGAACGACGACCATGACACGAAATGAGTATATCAAAAAATCAGTTCGGTTTTATGATAGGGAGGTCAACAACTGAGGCTATTTTCCTACTTAAGCAATTGATTCAGAAGTTTTATCTAGAAGAGAAAATGCCTCCACATGATCTTTATTGATTTAGAAATAACATACAATAGGGTATTTAGAGAATTAATTTGGTGGGTGTTGAAAAATAAAGGAGTTTATAAAGGATATATTAACATGTTAAGGGATATGTACGAGGGAGCACTAACTAATGTGAGAACAACTAGAAGACATAAGTGAGTTTTCAGTGATAGTAGGCCTACATTAGGGGTCAGTGTTGAGCCCATATCTCTTTATATTAGTTATAGATGAGTTGGGTTTCAAAAAGCGAACTGCTCAAGGGCGGAAATGCGACTCGTTGAGGATATTTTTGGATCAATTTTTTAATACTAAAGGGGCAAATTGTGGGTTTTAGGTTCATTTGGAACCTAAAACCCATTAGAGGCTATTTTAGAGAGAGAAAACCCAAAAAAAAAAAATCTACTGGGCCACTCTGATTCTGGGTAACCGCCTTAGCGCTGGGCAGCCTGAAACCCCCTGACCGCCTAGGTGCCGCCTAGCGCTTTTTGAAACAATGTAGATGAGTTAACTAAGCATCTATAAGATGAGGTATGGTAGTGCATATTGTTCGCACATGACATAGTTTTGATTGATGAAACTAGAGACGATGTTAACGCAAAGTTAGAACTTTGGAAAGATGCTCTAGAATCAAAATGTTTTAAATTATCCTAACTAAGGCAGAATATATGGAATGTAAGTTTAGAAGTAGAAACAAGGAAGTAGTTACGATTGATGACTAAGAAATACTTAAAAGATACTAGTTTCGACATCTTGGGTCCATAATCCCTGAGAATGGAGAGATTGAGGAAGATGTCGCGCATAGAATTAGAGCTGGGTGGGTAAAGTAGAATTATGCTTCTAGAGCTTTATGCAATCGCTACATACCAATGAAACTAAAAGAGAAGCTTTATAGGAGATGCTTAACAAGGATGTTTTTGTGCTCCCACTGAGCATAAACATCTTGTATAGAAGATTGTCTTTCATAAACATTCTGTCTCGATGCGGGTGGGAGGTTCTCGGTAAGCATCTGGCTAACTCCTTCTTCGAAGAGGACATAGCCAATCTTTCTTTTCCAACTAACATAGTTCTTCCCATCAAATTTTCTTACTTAATGAGTTCAGCCATAAAACTTTCGGCTGGCATATTCAACGACTTAAAAGAGAAATAACTAGACAATGGCAATAAAATATGAAAGCCCTAATACCATTGAAAGATGGGCTATGTGGAAAGACTATAAAACAAAAAAATTATTCTTTTCTGTATTATTGAATCTAAATTCTACTTACAAGTGCCACAATACATTGTTGCAAATAAAAATTAAACCCTAAATACAACCTCGGACCTTAATTAAATAAACACAATCAAGGGATAAAAACCAAACTTCTACTATCAATTTAAGTACAAGTAATATTCCTAGAAATTAAGAATGAACATGCAAATATGAAAATATGACTGAAAAACAAAAAATAATCGGGAAGACTTACTCGATTATGTCTAAGATCACCCCATAGGACTTCGTACAACCCACACCCGATTTCTTGACTGATGGCAGACTTCGATCCTATGGGTCTTGCTAAATTTTGTGAGCCGGGAAGCTTCCTTAGGCAATAACTCTTAAACTAGGGTTTTACAGAGCATAGAAACACAATTAGAGCATGCCTTAAAGAGGGCACCTCCATTTTAGGGTTAGACTAGTATACTATAGGATGGGCTACAGACCCTCAGTACTGCTGCTGGAAACTAAAGTTCATCTTTGCAGAAGTTTTAGACATCTCATCCTCCTTAAATGTTTCTATCCAACATTCATGGACAGATCAATTGAATTGGAAGATACTTTAGCACAAGTGGGAGTTACCAGATCCAGCTTATGTATTTCTACTGAGTGATTAACCAAGCTGTCTTTCCAATTTTGCAATTAGGACTTTTTTATTATATCTTTTTGTGCAATCAGTTCAAGGGCAACAATACAATCAATGAATTTACACCTAACAATTGACCCAAAAAAATACAAGCAATGGCATTTCTGCCTCCAAACAAATAACCTTTTAGGTGCAATGTATTCCCAAAGTTGAAATAATTTGAATTGGCATGTGAGAACCAGGTGGCTTTCACCTAAAGCCAGCCTGGCAAGCCTCCCACTTGATAACTCTCTTCATGGGAGTAGCTAGATGCCTGGACGGCTTACTTCTAATTACTCTAATATTAGGGAAGAAAAGCAGGAAGGGATGTACCCAAGTAAACCATGCAGGTCTGATAGTTTCCGAACTCATAGTTACTATAACTTCTGTTCAATGATCTAGAATCCAGACTCAACAAAAAAAAAGCAAAAAAAACCCAAGGATACAACACATCATGGATAATGAAATCTCAGAACTTAACATCATTCAACTCTCATAGAAGTTAGCGAGTAGAAATCACATTATATAGTAACACAACAAAATGATCAAATAAATGAAAACAACAGAAAAGCAGAGTTAATCTGAAATTTTATTCAATTTCAACATTGAGGCGTATTATACCTGACTAAGCACTGCAACATTCCCAAAATCAACATATGCAATACGGCCATCACGCATCGCAAAGATGTTTCCTGGATGCGGATCACCATGAAATAGTCCAAACTCTAGCAACTGTCGTAAAGCTGCACTTACTCCAACCGTCAAAAAGCCATTTACATCAATACCTGCTTCTTTAATGGCCTACAGTATAGAAAAAGTTCAGAATCAACTAGAAACAGAAAGTATCCATAATAGTGCATAAGTAGTTCTCCTGGACCTCTAAGCAACACCATTTGTGTCCTTATGGTTATATATAGCAGGAAGTCAAAGTAGATGCTTTCACAGTACGGTGATTAAGAATGCTGTCACTCATCTAGCATCCTGACCTGGGGGTTAGTGCACCGAATGCCATCAATCCACTCCATCACCAGTACACGAGCACCTGAAAGGTCTTTATAAACCTTAGGGATCTTAACAGTTGGATCATTTTTAAAGTTCTCCAGAAAATCTGTAATATTTTGGGCCTCCTGAATGAACATATAGAAAATCAATCATAACCTTAATTAACACCAGATATGGACAAAAGAATGGCATGCTTCTATTAAATCCAATAACGGATGGCACACAGCCCAGTTGAAAAAGCAGTTGCATGAATTTGAGTCAATGTGTTGGCTCATGTGCATGCAAATTCACCTTTTAGAACACTTCTCTGCTGGATGGTCTACCAATTTCTTCGTGTGATACAAAAGAAGTTTTAGAAAAAGAAAAATTACAAGCACGGAATGTACCAAAGTATAGTCAAGTTCCTCTAGAAGCTTTTCACCAAATTCATCAACTATGAGCTCTGCATTACAGCCAAGTTTTTGCAGACTGATTCCATTCAAGAATGAAGCCAATGTCCGAAACAGGAAAAGGTCTCGATAGATTATAGGTTCTATTCCAGGACGTTGCACCTGAAATAACAATTATAATATTTAAGTTGTGGTTTTGTCCATTATATTTACCTCATTAAAAAAACTAGGGAACTCTGGCAAATGCTTGAGGCATAGAGTTAGTCGATAAGCATCAACAAAATAGACATGAAATGTTACTAAAATCCAAAAAAATTTAAAAAAGGCCATAATTGATGTCAGATGTGTGATTAGTGCGTGCTAGGGATTCTATTTCAAAGAATTTCAAAATCTTTGTTGACTTACCCAATCACGCACAGAACCTAAGCATGTAAAACAGCATTGGATTCACCAGAAAATAGGAATAGCGCCCTTCAATAAAATGTCTATCTCCCAAAATATACACGGCCCTTTTCTAAAATTTCACAGGTGAAAGTAGACTATTAAACAAAGAGAATAGACTCACCATGCAGCACAGAAAGCTGTTGCTATGTGAAGAACCAGGGGCATGAACATTGCTGAATTCTGGTGCTGAAAACACTAAACCGGTTTCTTGCCTAAGGTTACCCTCAGGACTTCTTACACCCTTTATTGTTCCCTATACTGATGGTGCACCTAGATCCAAGGATAAGACCTCTTCCACAAGGTTTTTCAAAGATGGAGTTATAGAGCCAACCTTTTGGAGAGAGAAATAAAAAACTTCTCTTAGAAGACCGAAAAAACTCATCAAAAACCCAAGCTTCTTCCAAGCACCACCCTCTCTTTTTCTCTGTCGAAAAGTTTCTAAAGTCTCTCTTGGCTCTCCAAATACGCTCCATTTTTTAGGTATAGGCCTCAAGGAATAAAAGCATGAGAATCATGGGAAGAGGGAATGTATTTATAGAGGCATAGTTTGGGACTATTTTGGAATGAAAGTTCCTTGCCCTATAAAATAAGTGAGAAACCTTGGGGTTGCAGAGCCAAATCCAGCATTGAAGCGTATTCTTTTGCGGGTTGAAATGAAGCAGTAGCTTCGGTAGTAGGAGAAGAAGTTGTTTCTTCTATCTCCGAGTAATGGATATGCTTCCGCTATGGATTTAAAAGTTGAGGCACATGTTGAAGAACCTTTTCTTCCGTTTTTCAATGTTTAACCCAACGGCAAGAAAAAAAGCCAGTAGCATGAGTCACAGCAGCCGTAGCTTATTTTTTGTCTTGATTCTGTGGGAGCAGCGAATCCGCAGCATCCCTTCGTTGGGCCCAAGATCCGTAGCTTGGGGGGCAAGGGTTTCAGGAGGGGACTTTAGCTGGAAATATACAATTATCAGGATTAAAGACAACCATTATCGAGCTTCTAGCCTGCCTTGTCTTTAAGCGTAACTGTAACTAGTCTGGGCTCGTCGTTAAGCAGAACGAGCTTTTCTACTTCGGCTTGTCTTTAAGCATAATGAGATGCTTTGATCAGCCATTATGATCCAATGGTTGAAATAACACATTTATCCCTAGAAGGAATCTTCCAACAACCATCCAAATTGATTAGGAATGTATCCTAATAACCAATTTTATTCTCGAAGTCCTAATTCAATTAGACCTCCTTGTAACCAATTAATCCCCAATAAAATATTTAATAACCACCTAGAATCTTTTGGAATCCTTCTCAACAAGGACTCCCTCTAGTTCAAAATCCTTCAGTAGTCAAGATTGAGTGGGGCGGATGCCATCAATCCTTCTCGTGGGCCTTTTGACCAATCAATCCATCTTTTGACGACTCATTTTATGATGATCCACATCCAAGGTTGCAATGAGATCTAAGAAGGGAAGGTCGATTTTTTGAAGGAGTTAACTTTTATTTTGTTGTTGCTTTTTAGTCTCTAAGTTATTTTCAGTGTTAAGTCAAGGGCAAGTTTGGGACTTTTTTATTTTAATTTGAGTGAAGGGACTTATGGGGCATTTATAAAAATGCTTTAACTTAAATGGGGCAGTTTTGGTCTTTTTTTACCATAATGTATTGTAATAAGAGGGCCAAGGGGTATTAAAGCTTCTAACAGTTTTGGGGTGTGAATAGTAATATGGGCTCTATCTAGGGTCTCTTTTTAAGGCCTACTCAAATCTGGTTTTTTTATGGTTTATTGAACCGTTTTTGCCGCTTTTCTATATTTTATTGCATCAGCACTAGGACACTTTGCCCGCCCACTCTGAAGAGCCCATTGAATTGAGCCCGCATCTAACACCTCCATAATATATCATGTGATAAACCACTCTAAATCACATAAAACCCAATACTTCCTCTAAAATTGGAAATATTTAAAAACATGAGCGCCCAAAATATCTGGGATACATAAAACAATCAAGTGCTAATGGCTTTTAAATGCCACGAGACCCAACATCTCCCACTTGGCCTCTGAAGGCCACTACACTTGAAATTACATACAAGCTTGGCTCGAGACACGCCCACACTAACTCTATATAACCCAAGAGTGCCAACCCATTATTTTGTGGGAAGCATAGGAGACTAATGTCTCATCTACTCTTGCACAAACAACTGTTGGCATCAACATGCTTGGATTTTCCCATGGAATCCAGGCTTGGTGCATAGATACAAAATGTTGGCCTTCTACCTCAAACCATGGAGGATCCAAATCTACTAAACTGCTTTGTGGGTTGCATTACTGATTCCACATTTCTATTGTGCTGCAAATATCACCTTTTGGAACATAAAAATGCTTCCCGCTAAGCACATGCATTTGCAATCTCTGATATGCACTATGATATTCTCATGGTCCAACACACAAATCATTCATCCCCTCTAGAATGTCCTTTCCACAATCTAAAAATCATAACAAGAAGAAATCAATACTTAGAGAGTTGCTAGTCACAGCATGTCATCCAGATATCATTACTCAATCAGTTCATGAATTATGTTAATATTGTTGGGCAACCGCAGGAAAATCCTAAATTTTGTTAAGGCATGATGGGTTCTACTCTCTCTCATCGTATCGCATATTGGTGCCTCATGATAGTGGTATAAGACCAAGGGACAAGATTCTAAACTTAAAATTTTCCATTTTATTGAAACATGATGCTCTAATTACAACTTCATAAGGGATTATAAAATTGCATAATCTAACCCACAACTTGGACTTATACACATCTTGAATTATTAAAAATCCAACTCTAATAGGCCCTTTTATAAATCCCTTTCTCAAAATACAAATAAATATAATGTAGAATCCTAATACACATATGCTTATCTTTACAACTCATTAAATTGCATATACTCAAAACTCGACATCTTTTCAAATTACATAGCAATTACTTCTTCAATCTTCATCCTCATCATGTACCACATGTTACACACATACCATATACTTGATCAATGATAAGTTCACGAAACTTCATTTCACATAAACAATAAAGTATATTATTAAAGCTCATACAACAAGATTAAAGAATAATCTCAATATTCGAATAACATACTCAATTCTATCAATCACGAGTCACTAAATAATTATAAATATATCAAATCAACATGCAAACATACAAGAGGGAAGTCATGGTTCGAACTCTTTGTGGCGGAGCCACGCATTCGGGCCCTATAAGGACTTAATGTTGTCCCTTCGACTAGTGCAAGAGTGGTTCAATAACTCAAAGGTGTCTAGTCCAATGGGAAGCTTATACGCATCTCATAAACACTTCTTTAAGTCCCCAATCAGTGATAATATTGACTAACAACAGTATGCAAAAAGTTTGAGAGAATTTGGATCAATATCAAAGAAGATATGGCAAAACTACACACGTTGGTCCAACGGACCACCAAAGCTTAACAAAAGCTTAACAAAAGCTTAACAGAGGTATAGAACAGTTTGTGATCAAAAGGGGTAAAAGAAATTATTCTTGATCAAGGATTTTCAAGCATAAGACCTATAATCACATGAGAGATCACACTATGGAATAGTATTACGAAAGGATGTATAAATCAAGATCAAAGAGGAATAATACTGTAAATCAGAATTTCCAGGAACTATAGATGGTGAATACATGATCTTTTATGAAGAACAAACTAAAAATAAGATACCTTGATCATAGTATGATGTGGGCTTGATCATATGAATGAAAAAGGTCATCAATGGGGATCAACATCTTCTAAAACCTAAGGGAGGTGGAGACTATGAGATTCTATCTCTTTCAACTCTTTCAGACAAAAAGGAGGTTCGATTTTCTCAAAGGATGGATTTAGGGTTTTGTACTAATGAAGCTTATATAATGAGAGTGTAAGATTGAATTCAATCGACACCACATTATCAAAGGCACATGAGAGGCTAATGTATCATAGCCACCCAACTCCATCCAACCAGTAGGATCAGGGGATGGGATTTAGCAACTTCTCATTTACATCAAACTCTAAATTATGCCACTTTACCCTTTTATCATTAGGTCCATATTTTTATTCCAAGTGAATCCAACTTGCCCTTTCATAAAAGCCCTTAATTTTAAATAATTATATAGTGTAGAGATCCATCAAGGGCAATGGGCAACATAATAAATGGTGAAAACTCATACATGTGGAAAGATACCCCTTTATGAAAACCAATCACCTTATAGATCTAATTTTTCAAACCAATCACATCAAGCTTAATGTCTCATTCACATATGTGTGAAGATATTTTCAATTTTAAATTTAAAATCGATTTTAGTATTTGAATTCAATTTTCAATTAGATTAAAAAACCTCATACATGTCAACTAAGGCACTTGTGTGAATCAATTAGACATGTGACAAAAATGTACCTTAAGCTATAACATAATATAACAACACATATAACAATAGGAAAGTATATAATGAGATCATTTACCTTTGGTATAAGGTGGTCACAATTGATCTTGACCATTGGATGTGATATTTGGTGGCTGAAATTATTTTATTGACCAAGCCCAAAGTTTAAAAACAAAATTCTCGAACTTCGCGACACATCCAAGCTATCAGATTTCACATCGGATGGTTGTAAGTAATTGTGACCTCTATGTATGAAAGATAAATGGTTTCATTGTATACAATTCCTAAAACAATATATAACAAGCTTTTAAAAC